AGATGCTCTAGACTAAAATGTATTTAACATATTTCAGGGGCGTCCTTGCTACTAGTAGCGATGCCCTTTGTTCCTAGTAGTAATGCCAGGAGCTACTAGTAGCGATGTCTTTTGCTCCTAGTAGCGATGCTTTTTAGGGATAGCGGCATGACACCGCCTTTGAAGAGCAGATGTTCACAACACATGACTATTTTTCTTGTGTGTGTCCATCTGTGTCCAGTGAACAGCAGTTCACCGGAACAAGAGCATTGAAGTGTAGAGATAGTTGTTACTAGGAGCGATGCACTTGCTACTAGCTTCTTGCTACCTTCGTGGCGATGTCCAACCTAACATCGTCCTCCAACCTACTAGCTTCTTGCTACGTAGCGATGCCCGAAATGCTCCGTTCGTAGCGTCCGATCGCTCCGTTCGTAAGGCCAGGAGCCTCGATTGGGAGCGATACCTTTTGCTCCGTTCGTCGCCAGTGCCCTGGTCACATGGCTCGCACCGTCCGAGTGCGTCTCGTGCGTCGTGCGTCGAGGACGCGGACCGAAGCCTGGGCAACTACTTCCATCTCTCGTGCCTCGGAGCGCGGAGCAGGGGTGGAGCGAACTCAACTGTGAAGCTAGCTATCTCACCGAGCAAAGTACACATCTAACCGAAGGTCTTGGTTTTGTCACATGACTCAGTTGGTATTTTCGCCCTACAAGCCCTACAATGAGAAACGTCATGAATCAGACTTCCAGAGCTTGGACTGCAGGGCATCGTGAACGTGCATCCTTTCAAGTTCATCTTTGGTCTGAGGGTTCCTGGCACTTTGAAGCACACCAGTAATCCGTCTAATACAAACTAATACACATCGATGACCCTATGGAGAGGATGTGGGCCACTTTTGGCATGTGTCATGTGTCCATGAGTTTGTTTGAGATTCCCAAACCAATGGTCGATGGAGGTTCTCTTTAAGAGAGGGCATCAAGGTCTATGTGCTTTTTTGGTGGGTGAGTGATAGTGATACGAAATGATGTAATGCAGTCCTACGAAATCTCAAAACCAATCTGCTTCCGAGCCTCACTGGACGGTTCTTTTCGAATCCAGCCCTCCCAGCTCACTAGAAGTTCCAGCCTCACCTTGCCATCACTATCTTTGAGTGAACAGGCTCTGCGGTTTTTCACCAGTCAAACAAGACGCACCAAACCAAGCTCATGGACAAAGGGCTTTAGGTTAAAGGCCATGGCCTAGGTTGGAGGCCATTGCTATTTGGTTTGTTTGACCGCGAGGAGGGGCGAAGCACCACGCCAGGGAGACACTTCTCGTCCGACACGGATGGAACGTTCCTCGCTTCCGTGTGTTCATTTGTTCCTTATAGCTTCTTGTTTCTACTAGTAAGGCACTTGTTACTACTAGTAAGGCACTTGTTCCTA